CAACATCGAAGCGGGTGCGCCAGGCAAACAGGAGAGAATTTGTCCCGACGACAGTACACAAATAAGCAAATAAGTGAGGTGCAGAAGAAAATGAAGAACCAAAGAGCGCCCCAAGACAACAAAAAGAAAACTCAACTCTGCCCACGCCCATGCTGGAACTTCACTCAACAGTACAGTAATAGTGTCGATCCATTTCGTTCTTTGTTGGCCCCGTAAGCGTGGGCGCTACACCATAAATCGAACACAACCTCATTAGTGCCGGTACCGGCACTAATGAGGGATTGGCTAGCCCTCAATAGTGCCGTTTTGGCACTATTCGCAATAGTGCCGGGTGCCCGATTTAGTGCCGGTGAACGCTCTGTGCACGTACCGGCACTAAAAGGGTCCCTCGACTGTATCCCTAACTTGAACCGAAACAACCCGACCCGAAGCTACACACTTATGAGCGTTAGGTCACTTGCCGGTCGTATTAACCTAGGCCGCGGCGCATGAGGGGTAAAGGCTAGGTTGGTGTGCGCGGTAAGGGCTGGGTTGCTGAAGGGTGAAAAAGCTAGGTAGGTTGTTGTCCAGGTAAAGCCTAGGCAGAACAGGTGAAACGCTAGGTTGCTTTACGTGTAAACCTACGCCGCGGGGCAAGAGGGGGCAAGGGCTAGGTTGCTGTGCACGGTTACCGCGATCATAATTTGTTGTAGGGCGAATGAGCTCTGTAGGTTTCTGTGCACAAGCTGCACCTGCCCAAGGAATGTTCCGAGAAGTGGCATTCCGACCGTCAACCATTTCGTTCTACCATCGTGAGCACTACTGGTTCATCTTGGCAGCACGAGAAGAAAAGCACGTGAAAATTTCCAGAAAGAAAGAGCCTCCCCTGCCGCGGGTATGATGAAAGTGTCGTTAGTATATGAGTGTGACTGTCAACATGGCCGCGGCCACATGGACCGGAGGAGGTTGTTCCGACAACAACCTTTGCTTGTATTTTCTAATTGGGAAATAGACAAAAGTGGGTTGTTGCTGTTGTTGTTGTTGTTTCTCACATTAGCTCTTTAGTCCACAAAAAATGTGGAGCCCGTGGTCTCAAAACCCGGCACATACGACGCCGCGAGAAAACTAAAAAAACAAAAATGTGGTACAAACCACTCGGAAAAAGAAAACAAAATGATAGAAAGAAAATAACAGGTATCGCTCCGACCGTTCGAGAAAAGAGCCCTCGGAAACCGATCAAAATAAAACAAAAACAAAAATAACGGAGGACGCTTCCCACACCCGCCCAAAGAAAAAATCAAAGGGTAACGTACCAGCACCAGGCACTACGCACCAGGGCATGGGAGTCACGGACCAAACAGGACAAAGAGGCGGCAGATGGGCAGACAGCCAGACGTACAAAAAACAAAGGCAACAGCAAAGCGAGATCAAGGTACCCAACACAGCAGACAGAGTAGGCAGGGAGGTCATGAAAAATAGAAACACAGCACAGAGGCCGAAGGCAATACAAAGGACATACATAAAGGAGTATAGCATACAGCAGGGAGGGAAACAGGGCGCAATAACATCAGCCGGGTACATAGTTCGCCACAAGTGCTGCCTCGGCCGCCCTACTCGCTTCTACAGCAGTGCCCGGTCGCCGTTTCTTCCCCCCCACCGCCGCTTCCCCGGCTCTCTTTCTCTTCGGTCCTGAGGCCGTACTCTCTGCTTCTGCTTCCCTCGCGCGCTGGCGCTTCGCGGACGCTTCCGCCTCCTGCCTGTGCCATTTCCTCATGAACCATGCCGCCCCGTCCTCGACCTTGTGGTACCACACCTCCGGGTCCTTGGCGCTCTCTTTCCATT